TTTCGGTTTTTTCGGTTTATAAAAGTAGAAATTTATAAGCATTAAAAAATTATAAAACACTAACTCGATGAAACAATAAAAATATGTAGTGTTAGCTTTGGTTTTTTTGTTTGATTTTTACACAAAAACAAAAAACCAAATAGAAGGTTATTGCTCCTTTTAGTTTAATTTTACATAAAAAAGATGTGTGGAGTGCCAACAAACATTTAAAAGATTCTAAATACTTCCAAAGACATCGTATGTAAAATCAATTATGAACAATTTATATTTTTTGTATAATACTTTCAATTTTATTATAACATCAAAGTATTTTTTATGTAAATATGTAAATTACGCGTATCAATTTTTAATCTTAATATGATTCTATATTAGGATTACTATTGGTGTTCATATATATTCTTAAGTTTTTTAAAGTTTATAATAATATGGCTAGAATATTTAATTAATAGATGAGAAAATAATTTAAATCGACTAGTAATTTATTTGCATTTATATTTCTATGATTTTTCTACATATCACATATATTCATATAAATAAAGTGAAGTATCTAAAAAAGTTCGGTTTATTCGGTTCGGTTTGGTTTTTCAAAGTGAAAACCAAAATGGAACCAAATACTAACGGTTCGGTTCGGTTTTTTTACATTCGGTTTCGGTTTTTTCGGTTCGGTTTTTTTACTAGCTCATTTCGATCGATTTCGGTTCGGTTTGCGGTTTTCGGTTTTTCCAACCCAGCCCTACATATAAACTCTAGCCTTAACAACACTGCCATTCGCGAGCTTAAACCCCGGACTTAACGGAAACCCAACCACAAGCCCCATACAAAATCCGCCTTCGGCCGAATACTTCCCCACGCTTTCCATGTACTCCGGGCGAAATTCCGATCCCTCACTCGCCTCGAACTGGCACGGCCGCGGCGGCTCCATAGAGAACGCCAGCAGATGAAGCATCCACACCGCCTTGGCCAGCTCCAGGAACTCGCCGTAGAACTGGCTCCTCGGGTTGTTCCCGGCCAGAACTTTCCGCCTCTGCTCCAAATCCCCGAACAGAGACTCCTCCGTTTTGGGGTGGATGATCGCCAGGTATTTCTTGAAGCAGAAGTTTCCGAAGCTGCAATTTGGGAGTATCCCCAGCAGCTCCGCCGGATCCATCGCGCTTTCATGTCCCGGTACTGTGTGTAACAGCCGCGGCGGTGCTGTTCCGGGTCGGCTACGGAGGAGAGGCCGTCGTCCGTGTAGAACGTCTCGTGGTCAAACCCTTGGAACATTTTCCGATTCACAGACATACTTAGGGAACTTAAACCCCGCTTGTTGCCATGTAAATCCATCTGTCCGCCTGTCTGCAAATAATTTTACTAATCTTTCATAGGTAGTCTTCACGATAACGTATACCGGAAGAGACCGGCATCCCTTGTATTTGGGATATTTTTCCCAAATTTTCTTGATTGAATTGAGATTATCGGCAATGGCATCAAGGAGTTCATTGAAGAACTCATCGAATGAGACATCAAGATCAAGCACAAAAGCTCTGTTTGAATGCAATGAGTAATCTACTTCATTGTTTTCAATTTTTAGCTCACTATTCCAATAGGCTAAAATGATAAAATTACCATCAGATGTCATTTTTTGAGAATATAAAGAAAAGTAGTGAGTAGATATTTGAAAGTATAATTTTTAAATGGTAAGAGTGTGAGAGTAAGTGTTAAATATATAGTAGAAAATGTGAGTTAGGTGCATGATTTTTATTATGTTAGGTGAGATATTTTTGTTTGATAAATTAATTATATTAGGTGAAATATTTTAGTATGTAGATGTATTGAGTTACGTTGATTGTGTGGTGTAGAATTTTTTAGGTGTTAATTAGATTGAATGGTATAAGATTGAGTTAGGTGAATTCTATGGTGTGGATCTATTTTAATTTGGAAAAGTACTTCAAACGGTAGATGAAGTACCGTCTCATATTAAATAATTTTTTTAAAATGATGAAGCGGTAGATCATCTACCGTTTCGTTTTAAATAATTTTTTTAAAATGACGAAACGATAGATTGTCTACCGTTTGAATTTTTTTTTTCTCTGACAGCACTGTTCCGGAACACTTTTTTGTTTGTTGCACTGTCCGGGAATTAAATCCTTCTTTTGCTAGTATAGATAGTATTAGGGGTGGACACGGTACGGTTCCGGGACGGTTCCGGTTCCGGTACCGCCACCCCATGTAACCGGAACCGTCACCGTGCCGGCCGGTACCGGTTCCGGTACCGGACCGGCCGGGTTCGCCCCCCCCCCCCCTCTTTTTTTGCTTTTTTTAGTAAAGCAAAATGTAGTTGTTATTTAAATATTGAAAATGAGTAATACACTAACTGAAGAACAACCACATTTAATATCCTGACGGTTCAAAAAAAGCGACGAGGTAAAGAACCGTAAAGAAACCCTCGAAGGAGCTTATATATCGCTCACCTAAAAAAATTAATTACATATTTACATTAACATAAAAAAATTTATAACTTATTCTTCAGAACTCGGACTTCCATCTGTGGTTGCATTCATGTAATGCTCCAATTCGAGTTGGTACGATGACTCTTAAGCCCGACGTCTTGCCAAGAGCCAATCTTGGTTGCAAACCAGTGTTTCAAGAGATTCAGCGTTAAGACAACTTCGGTAGTCGGTTAGAATGTTTCCGCCAGCACTGAATTCTCGTTCAACTGCTACGGTTGATACTGGGACGGACAACACTTGTCTTGCTAGCATGCCGAGACATGGGAACATGTGTTCGTTCCGCTTCCACCATCCGAGCACGTCAAAATCGACATCGTCGTCATCGTAATCGCATGGCACACCCTGGTACATAGCAAGTTCGTTGTGCGAGCTTACTGTTGTACCACTTGAACTCGTCGAAGACTGGGCACGTTTCCCTTCTTTGCAAGAAGGCCACCGACTATGCCGGCAAAACCTTTTTTTGATTTCGGGGGCGGAGGTGGTGCTGTTTCTTCTTGTACAGTACTGTATAACCCTTGATATTCCTTAAACAAATCCTCAAAAAGAGTTATAGCATTATCTCTTTCATTTTTCCATTCTACTAAATAGATGTAGTAATAATTATTTTTATCTAAAAAACAACTGTAGTAATACTCAATTAGATTTTTAAAATTTTCAATCTTAAATCGTGGATCACAAATAATAACTATTTTATAAATATCAGGAATGTACAAATAATAAGTACACCATTTATCACTCATATGAGAGACATAAGGGTACAAATCTGGATTAGCCATACTTTCACGAAAACATGTTGCGATTGTAATGCACTCTTTAAAAAATGTATTTGTAGTTGGTTGGTAAACATGGGAAAAAGTAAGAGTTGCGTTATTAAAAACTTCTAATACGGCATTCAATTTTTCAACAATAACAAATTCAAAAGGATTAATGATTATACGAAGTTAATCTCTAAAAAATTCAGCAAGTTCCTCTTTATATCTTAGGATCTGTGCAATCAATTTGTAAGTACTATTCCATTTAATGTTGATATCTCTCGCAAAACTTATTTCTTTTTTACCCTTAGACTTACAGAACATCTTCCAGGATCTCGAAATAAGACGAGCCCCCCAAATTTTTTTAATTCCTTCTTTAATATTTATCAAAACTCTGCCCATAGCTTGTAGTCCCTGTTGAACACATAAATTTAAAACATGACAGGCACACCGTTGATGTAGAAATCTACCCATAGTCGTAGACGGTGGGCAAATTTATCTAAGTCTAGGAATAGCAACAGTATTATTAGTAGCATTATCAAAACCAAATGAAAAAACTTTTTCAGATAAGTTATATTCCCGCAGAATACTCTGAAGCAATAGGAAAATATTTTCAGCAGTATGCTGATTATTGAAATCACGAAATGCAAGAACACGTTTATGCATAATCCAATCACTATCTATCCAATGACAAGTAACACCCATATAAAACAAATTATGATAAGTTTCACCCCAAATATCAGAACAAATAGCAACGCGAGAATTAAAATTGAGAAAAAAATTTGCCAAATTAATTTTTTCCATTTTATACTGGCGAATAATTTCTCGTTTAATTGTTTTTCTTGAAAAACCTCGTGCTTGAGGGTTTAATGCCTGTTGACAATAATCAATAAAACCAAGTTTTTCAGAAAACATGTATGGAAAATTTTCTTCACAAATCATTTCGGCCATTTTTTGCCTATTTTGCTCGTCGCTATAAGCAAAAAGGCCGCCCTTACCTCTGTTAGCAAACCGAGAAATTTGGGTTTGCACTTCTTGTCGTCCCTTTTTTTGGCCTCGTATCTGGCGTACTCCATGGGATGCCTCGATCTTAGGTGTTTTTCCGGACCGCCATAACCGCCGGAAACTCCCATTTTTATGACGGTCCCGCAATGTTTACAAGTTCCATAAACTATGCCATCTTTTGTGTCTTTGTCAAAATGATAAACAAATAAATCTGATTTATATTTTTTTTTACCTTTGTCCGGACCTCGAGAGGTCTCGGGCTCACCTGCCTCCACGTCGACGTCGTTGCTTTGCGGTGTAGGCTCATCGTCCCCATCAAGATTATCTAGTCCTGCTTCATCAACATCCTCGAATAGACTATCTAGAGTGGGGAGATTCACGTCTCCTCTACCAGAATAAATCTGGTTGAATTCTTCATCCGTCATAGCGTCCCCGATTAAATGATCTGGGACAGTAGGAAACGAAGAGACGGAGTATTTTCTTCGAGAACCGCGTCCGCGTGAGGTCGAACCGTCGGAGGTGGCTTTAGCTTTGCCTTTACTCAATCTTCGGTTCACGTCGCCCATATCCACGGACCGTCTACCGGACTCCCTCGACATTTTAATATATATTTTTTTGATATTAAAATAATATATTACTTTTGGAAAAATTAAAAAAATTTCGAAATTTTATATATTAAAA